TAGAGATACCTGAATAAGCCTAACAAAAGCCCTCTGAGTATCTTCGCTAGAGGTTTAACAATAGACGGATTGATGCCATTTGGTCCCGCTACCTTGAACTTATTCAGTTCAGTTTGCACATGACAGAAAATGGCTACGACCAATCAAACGTCCGGAGTTTTTTCGGTGGTATGCACAGGTCCGGCACCCACCACTGTATCGAGTAATCCATCAGTTCTCCTGGTAAAAATGAAAAAAGGACAACTCATTTCACTTGCTCGGTGAGAGTCTTGAAGTCTTGAAGTGATTCATGGGTTCGAGGCTGTTACCCAAATGTCCGAGGTCCTTGAAATTTATCTGTGTTTTCTTTTCGTTCGAAATGTTTCTAGAACAGCGAACACTGAAAAGGCATTGGTAGGGTTCATCGCTCTAGGCGAGAAGTAAAATGAAGAATTGCGAACTCTCATATAATTCAAAATGTTTTTTATGAGNTTATGAGTAGATAAACCTAAGTGACGGTCAAAATGAAGTTTGAAGATCGCCTTGCTGGGGGCGCTAACTATCTCTTCTGAAAGGGCATTCCATAAGGATATCATTCGGAAGGTAAAAAATGAAGCACATAGAGTGGTTTTCGGACGGGCCTTGAAAATGTTTTTGCTATGACCTCGGGTAGGCTGAGTCAGCAATGACAAAGAGGTTTCGACAATGCCCGTGTCAAAGAGATGGTAGAGGAGAAATAGATCTCCCCGAATGCGCCTGATATCTAACGGGTAAAGGCACAGTTTTTGAAGTCGTGTTGGGTAAGGGTGGTCTCTGAATCCAAGCACGGATTTTGTAGCGGCTCTCTGAACGCGCCCAAGGCAATCACGATCTCGGATGGGACCAGAGTGTGCAACTTGGCTTTCGTATTCTAAGAGAGGGCGGATGTACGTTCCGTAAATAAGAGGAAATTCATCCTTTAGAATACGGGAGAAACATCTTTTTATGAGGTTCAGGACACGAAAAGCGGCCTTACTGGCTCGATGGTTGTGATAAGATAAAGACGAATTGTTGTTTAACCAGAAACCAGGAAATTTGTATTGGTCCACTTGAGGTAGTAGGTGAGAACCTTCTATCGTAAAAGGGTAAGATGGGTGACCAATGAGTGACATCACAACACACGTCATTGTTGACAGGAAAATTCAATTCCAGTGACCAGCGTTTGGTAGCATCAATTGAGGCCTGTAAAAGAGAAGCGTCTATGTCCTAGGTAATGACGTCATCAGTGTACAGCGCAATTCTTGATGACACTTCATCGGATAGGTCATTTATATAAATAAGGAAGAGGATGGGGCCTAGAGCGGATCCTTGGGGAACACCGGTCGTAATTGGGCTGGGCTGTGATGAGGGCTTGCCAACCCGAAGGACAAATAGGCGATTTGAGAGGGGGCTACGAATAAACGTAAGCAACGGCTTTACAATCCTGTGGGCCGCAATTCTGNGAAAGGAGGGATATGTGGTATCTAGTCTAAAGCCTTCGTGGAGTTAATGAAAACGGCATGAGAGGTTTTGCCAGAATCGTAGGCTTTAGGCAGGCTATCCATTATAATCAGCATATTGGTAACGCAAGACCTGCCATATAGAAAACCGTGCTGGAAAGGAGAGAGATTATTGGTCCTAAGATGCTTCAGGATTTCGTTTTTTATTAGACGCTCGAAAATTTTGCTGGGGATGCTGGTAAGGGAATTGGGACGGAAGCCAACCGGGAGGTGTCTACCGCCTTTTCTGTGTATGAGGCAAATAACGGCTTTTTTCCAATTTGTGGGAAAGGTTCCCTCGTCCATAATGCGTTGGAAGAGATGAGTGTAAGTGGCAGCTCGTACACCAGCTGACTCCACCAGTAAACTAGGATGTATATTATCATTTCTCATGGAGCAGTACGGATTACTGCTTCGGGGTCTCCTTTCAATCCTATCTTGTGAGAACAGAATGGATCCCAGGGAGGAGTTTGTGTCTAATGGCTGCAGAATAAAGCTATTGAGCACCGGAGGGGAGTTGAATGTTTTCTGGAAGTGTGACTGGAATTTATCCGCCACCTCTGTTTGGGATGAGGTAATTGATCCCTCTGACTTGGTGAGAGCTACGGGGCAGAAATAGGGCTTACGCAAGCTACGGATGTATTTACAGAAGGAAGGCTTGTTCTCTCGAGGATTGGCAAGGATAACTCTCTGGTGTACCTCTGATGCTCCCGAATGTTTTGTGGGAAGAAGTTTCCGACGTGTTTAAAAGCATCGCCCTTGACCGTGAGGCGAGTGTTCATGTATCTCGCAAAAATCTCAGCCCTTGTATCTAACAGCCGGCTAATTGGGAGAGGGAGAGGGGGTTTGGCATTGGACGTGTTTCGAATTCGGGAACAAATTGCGAGTCTGCGAGAGAGATTTCCTGCTCAATGTGCCTGGCGAGGCCGTCAACAGTCACTTCAGAAGAAGAGCAAATATGTAGTCGAAGAAACCGGTTTGCAGTCTCGAAGTTTGTTCTTTTGAAGGAACGAACGTTCAGTTCAGTTTAGCTTAGTTCAGTTCGGTGCCTAGGACGGTGACGGCAGCCTACCAGGTTGTCCAGTTTCTTGCACTGGTGAGCTCCAAGGATCTCCCGGTGCGACAATAGGATGAAACGTTTCATCTTCAGTGGTATACACGTAGATGAGTGTTACGTCTTGTATCAAGACGATGTGATCGATACGTACGCCTCTCCTCTAGGCCCCAACAACTGGAGAAAAAAACTGCTGAGAAAACGACAGTCAGAGTGTATTTTTGATCATGAAACAACAAGTAAATATGTGTGGTAAGTTGGGTGTACGCGAGTAGACGTGGTGACTCGCCAATCGGATCGTGACCTTGACATTCGAGTTGATCGACCGGACGACAGCCATTTGATTCGCCTTAGTCATCCAATCAGGAGTCGATTCGGCTTGGGCGTCACGAGTGCACTTGTGGTGTGACGCGCGTCGCTGCGTGGCAGGACGGATTTTGTGCGCTCCGTCCTAACAAGAAGCGACTAGAAGAGAATCCCCAGCCACAGCACCCAACTCCGTGGGTGTTTGTGCAGTGCTGTTGCACACTGGCCCCTCCAATGGGAGAGGACACCAAGAACCTTGAATCCCGTAAGGGTGAAAGATAATAAGTTAAGAAGAACAATCTGGGGTTTGTTAGCGAGGTGAAGAGAGGAAGTGGAAGTGGGGGGATAAGAGGGACATTGGGATGAGGAGAGGACGGGAGGGAGAGAGGCTTCAGGCGCTTGACACGTTTACTCTCCTCCGATGAACAAGCCAACCCATAAGTTATCCAAACAGAACGTATCGAGCGTTGCTGCTAAACGGATTCCAGGTTACTATGTAGTCAAAAGTTAGCAAGACATGGTCACTTTTACCAAGGGGGTAAAGCTGATTAATGACATCAACCCGGTGTCTTTCATTGGTGATGACTAGGTCTAGTAAAGTTAGGGTATATCCTTGCCGGAACCTGGTTGGAAAAGACACGTGCTGCGTCCAGGATTTCCCGACAAGATGGTCAGTAAAAGGGCGACCTAAGAAGACATCTGTCGAGAACGTCTTTTGCCAGTCGATGCCTGGGCAATTGAAATCCCCTACCACGGAAAGATGAGAATGTTGGCAACTTTCCGTGTTAGACCTAAGCTGGTCTATCAGGAGCTGATTCTCTAGTAGACTGGATTGTGGTGGGCGATATACTAGGCAAATCAAGAAGTTGATCGTCCTGGAGATCTGAAAACAGATGCACAGGCTATCTATGAAAGGAATAGGATCAGGGTTTATGAAAATTGGAGGGGGAGATGGTGATTAAAATAAATTATGACCCTACATGCTCTTCCTCGGGGAGTCTTTTCTAATCAGGGAATAGCCTGGTACGGTTACTTCGCCATCGGCAAAGTCCGCCGAGTCTTTTCTAATCAGGGAATAGCCTGGTACGGTTACTTCGCCATCGGCAAAGTCCGCCGTAAGCCAGGTTTCTGTCAGTAGTAAAAAGTCTAGGTTATTGTCTAGTGCAACCTGCCTCAATTACTAGAATCTTATTGGGGAGGCTGAGGCAGTTGCAATAAAAGCATTAAAAAATTCGCTCATCATGAGGCGGAAAAAAGCGGGGAAGGTGTTGGAGGGCGTTTGTGGGTTGGATTGGTGGGAATATAAAGGAGGGGGGGAACCCCGAGTGCTGTCGGTCGGAATTTCTGTTGGACACCTGCGTGCAGGAAGAGCGGAGGTTTCACGGATGGGCGAAATTGATTTGGCCGCCTTTCTAAGAGGCGACCCTCCGGAGCCCCCAACCGAAAATTTGATTTCTTATTGGGGCTGGAGGGAGGAAGGAAAGAGTTTTGGAAAACTTGGTAGGGTTCGGGAGAGTTGGAAGGACAGTCTTGAGTTTCTGAGTTTCAGTAGCAACAGGCAGCTAAGGCGACTGTTTCCCCCTGACTGTTACTTTCTAGGACGGTGAGATCATCAATTAGGCCTTTTTTGCTCCAGTGGGAGTCTCTGTGTGCGCAGAACATACACTTGTGTTCACCGAGCTGCATGCTACTGGCTTTAGGCAGACCACTGTCTCTTTAAGGGAGATGGTCTGAGTGGGTTACCTCAGTTTCCAAAAGTACGACCGGTACGAAGGTGCTTCGGGGAAGCTTGGAGTCTGTCAAAGGGTAATAGGGGGTGTTCGGCTGCGCAACAGAGAGCCTAAGTTGTAGAGGTTTATCAGCCGAGTCCCTTGCATGATCGTTTTAAGGATGGGGCAAACGTGATGAACTTACGGGCTGCAGAAGGTGAGCCCATATCAACTACGAGACCATGGGGAGTTTTGCTTTTCTTTCAAATAAGCCACGAGCATTTTTTGGGTTTGAAAACCATCGTATTCAGATGTTTAGAGAATAACTTCTTCATTTCCTTGGGGGTTACGGAGCTCGATTAAATGTCCCCAGAAGATCAACCCTTTCGAGGCAGTTGCGTCTGCTTGTAACATTATTGCTATATGAAGTATTTGCTACTCGGTGACTTTGATTGCTTGGTCCTCCGCCGAGTGAACTGGGGAGTTCAACATCAAGGCGTTGAGTTTGGCAACCTGGTCACCGAGAGCATTTACCTCAGCCTTCTGCTTCTCTAGTCCCGAGGCCTGTCCCTGTATGATACCTAACATTTCGGCTTGCGAAAGAGTTTGATCCATCACAGGCGCATCTAACCTCGTGGGGAAGGTGTTCCCGTCGGAGAATCCGAGGGAGGCTTTATCAGCCATCGAAAGATTGGACGGTGTAATCAAAATGTTTTACGGGGCGAAACAAAAGAATTAGAGCCGAGTGAGTATAAAACTGGTAGAATTACACAAACCGATAGTGAAGCTAAATTTTGAACGTACCGCGTCTCAGTTCAGTTTAGTTCCCGTTAGGTACGTGAGCGTTCAACAGGTATCCTAATGGGAGAGCTCACTCACTGCTCAACCGAGAACCTACTTCCTCCTGACCTCGATTTGAGGCTAGTTTGAAGTTTCGAACCGAAGGTAGGTATTAGCTCTTCTGACAGTCGGTCACATAGGTTAACTACTGGATTACCGAAGAAGCGTGATCTTGCTACTATTTTGGATCAAGATTTTCTTCGTTTCTTACAGTGACTCCTTGTTCTCAAATCAAGGTCAGCCTGGAACAGGTTTTCCGGGCCTATGCCTGATAAACCCTTCATTATTTTGAAGGTTTCAAGGTTTCACCCCGGAGTCTTCTCCTCTCCAGAGAAAAGAGCCCCGGATCATGAAGTCTCTGATCATAAAACTTCTCTCTTTGACCTTCAGTCATTCTCCTTGAGAGCCTCTGAACTCCCTCCAAGCAAGTAGCATCCTTTTTTGAAGATAGATGACCATACCTGCACGCAGTACTCCAGATGAGGTCTGACTATAGCCTTGTATAGGGGTACGAACTTCCCCGAGTTTCTGCAAGACAGTGCTGNCTGCGAGCGTTTTTTGCGGCTGCTGTGCACTGCTCGGTCAAACGGAAATCGGAAGTCATGATGATATCTTGGTCCTCAGCTCTAGTTACAGATTCTATCATAAACAAATCCTGGTCCTACACCACTGTTAAGCATTCGTTGTTCTGCGATAGCAACTGGCTTTTACCAGCGTTCAGCGAAAAATCCCAATTATGCGCCCAGCTGAGGACAGCAGCTTTGTGTCTTTTGAGGTACTCTCTTCATTTCAATCCAACCACCTTGATGTCGTCGGCAGAGAAAAAAAGATGGCCGATCTCAACAGCATGGCAAGGCCATTTACAAATAGTAAGAACAACAACGGACCAAACACGGAGCCCTGGTGTACACCACTTGTGACGTGTGCTGTATGGAAGCAGTTGTCACCCACTTTGAAGTAGAAGGTCCTGTCGGTGACGGATTCTCTCAGCCATTGGTGGATTTGTCCCCTTACACCAAACGCCTCTTTTTTGATTAATAGCAGGCTTTGGTTGACCGAGTAAAGCGCATTGCCAAGGTCAAGATAACTTACACCTACCCTGTGCCTCTAGTCTAATCTTTCGGTAAATTCATCCAAGAAGCACAGTAAATTAGTCAGACACAATCTACTTTTGAGTAACCCAGGTTGAGTTGGANAGCAGCGGCGTGCCAATTTGTCCAGCTTCTTGCACTGATGAGCTCCGTGGATACTCTGATGCTACGACAACAAGAAGAGAAAAACCCTTTTTCAATTTAACGAATAGCATACAACGACCAGGAAAGACCCCCCTTTACAAGGCTTCAGTTCGAGGGGATTGTCAAGAATGGTGTTGCAGCTTGCAGACTCATGGGACGACCAGACCATCTATTGAGAGTAGAAGTTGATGTAAAGAGGTAGAGATGTCTAATAGAGGTAGAAGATAAGTAAGGGCTAAGCATAGAGCTTCTAGAGAGGTTGCCAGGAGAGTGGATAAAGAGAAGACGAAGACTTGGATTGTGGACGTCCAGCAATAAATGGATAACGGTCCCGAGCCAGCTGCATCCAAACGGTTCAAATCAGTCGCAGCCCCCTTCCGAACACCCTGGTCCATACCATGTCTAGTCTGCGTTTGAAGTCTGCTGTCGAGTTTGCAGCGATGAATTCATCCGGCAATCTATTCCAATAATTTACAACTCTCGTTGCGAATGAGGGCGCTCTAAGCCGAGTCCTCACTCCATTTTTAACCAGTTTTAGAGCTTGCTCTCTCAGGTTCGTTGATTCACTGAGCTTGAGCAGCGCTCCATCTGGTACGTCCATAAACCCTCTCAGGATCCTGTACGCTTTGATCAAGTCTCCACGTCGCCAACGCCTGCTCAATGAAAAAAGATTTAAGGCATCGAGATGCCTCTCGTAAGATAGATGTCTTAAGGCCGCAAACCATTTGGCGAAGCGACGCTGCACTGATTCTAGCGTTTTCATGTCCTGGATCGGACACGGGCTCCAATCCTGGACGCAGCATATCGGGTGGGGACGCACATAAGCCTTGTGAAGAGGGAACAATACTTCGGGTTTCCTAGAGCTTACCGTGCGTCTCAGTTGGCGTAAGGCTCCAGTTCTGACCAGCTATTGACATTTCACGGTATTCAGAAGCAGGTCCCGTTTAACTGATCATTTATAAATGTTGTCGGGATTCCTCTCTACCGCGGACTCCCCAGCGATTTTCACATCGTCTGCAAACTTGTAGCAGCGGTTTTCCAGGTAGATACTGAGGGGTTTGATGTAGAGCAGAAAAAGTAGTGAACGTAGTCCTGCGGCATTCCAGTAAGCACTCGTTGTATTTCATGCTGAATTTTTGAAAATCCCTCCGAACCCATAATGATTTATGGTGAAATAACTGTAGCAGTGTGTTGCTCTTATATTGACATTTCTCGATCACAAACACCATACATCATTATTTATCTGTTAATTCGATGCCCGGCACATTTGGATTTTGCGTGATTTGAGAACGTGAGCGACTGTTTGTCTCTCTCTCTGGACATCTTATTTGGCTCGCTTGCTTGAGTGCTCTCGGCCGCATATTTGCGGTTTGCTTTATTGTACATTTGTAATAATTTCGTTAATTCAGTATCGTAGAACATTGCGGATCAATTGTGTTTTTACTTCGGGATTCGTATCGGTTCGGCTACACATCACTCAAGTGCGAATTGGGTGACGTGCACTGTCCTTTAAAAATGTCTTCATGGCCAGAAGCGGTATCTCCTTGCAGGAGCAGGAACCCATAAGTGCAGACAACAGCAAAGCAAAAAACGTAGTACACCCTCGGGTACTCCGCCCGAGGGTCCAAGCACTCCAGATTCAAAGGAATGTATAGTGTAGGTCGATGTTACCGATTGAATGGAATTCCATGGTTGATGGATTTGCATATATCATTTATGTACTTAATAAATAGTAGAAGACCAAGGACGCTGTCTTGTATAACTCCACTTGTCACCTGCTGAGGTAAAGAGGAGAAGCCATCTATTGAAACTACCTGTGTTCGGTTCGAGAGATATGATGCCAGCCATGAAACTAATGGATCACCTAGTCCATAGGATCTAGCCTTAACCATTAGTCTTGAGTGAGATACTCTGTCAAAGGCCTTCTTCATGTCCAGGTAGACCACTATATAGGGATTTTTATCGTTTACCACGTTTGTAATCAGGTTTGGGAAGTCAAACTGGCAAGTTTGACAAGAACGATATTTCAGAAAACCATGCTGTCGCTGACTGAGATTGTTTTCCGATGAAAAGATAATAAACCAATTGTTGGTTAATGATTTTCTCCATTGTTCTGGAGATCATGAGAGTGTGGTTCATGGGGCAATAATTAGATGGTTCTTGAGCGGGTCCAGTTTTATGCTGAGGAATAATAGTGGACCGTTTCCATTGGGATGGGATAACACCATTGGTCAGTGGGAGGTTTAATAATTTTAACAAAAGGAGCGGAATCTCTGGCCCTCCGAAGCGCAGAGCTTCCGACGGTAGTCCGTCGGGCCCAGGATATGAGGAAGGTTTGGTAACTCGGAGGAGCTTATCAATGTCATTCACCGTAAAACTGATGGTAGTCAGAGATTCAGTCGTGGGTAGTGGAAGACTGGGGAAGCTGGTAGATGAGTCTTTTATGTACGATGAGGTAAATGTAGAGTTTAAAGCTTCAGCGATTGTCTGGGGGGAGATAAGAGAGATATTTCCAGGCAGAATTAGGTGTGAGATGCTAGGATGTGTGACTTTATTCCTAGCCTTATGTAATTTAGACATTTTTCATATTGGATTTGAATGGGATAAAGCCCTGAGTTCCTGATTTCTGTGTTGTTTGGCCGTTTTCAGCTGGTTTTTTTTATGAGAGGTCATGCAACTGCATCAGGAGAGAGAACTCGTGAGTGGCTTGATACCGTTTAGAAATTTTATTGAATTTAGTGTTTAAATTCTCTGATTGAGTTGGACGGTGGGTAGATACAACGGAAGTTAGGGAGCAGATGCAGCTGGTAATTTTTTCATAATAAATATCCGCCGCTAGTTGGGGGTCAGACGAAAGGAAGAAATCAGACCAGTCCAGAGAACGAATCATATTTAGTAGTTATATCCAGTTAATTTGGTAGCGTGGGACAACTTTTGGCGGAGGAAGTATCTGTGCTGTTTCTAATTTAAACATGCAATGAACCATTTTGTGGTCACTGCCTGAAGAGTGTTCACGTACTAGTGTCTCTGTCACCGTAAGACGATTTGTTAAGATTAGGTTCATGGACGCGTCTACCCCTAGTTGGGGATTTCACTTGCTGTGTCCAACCACCAGAGGTCATGCAAGACATGAAGGGGAGGAGGTTATCAGGAGCAGAAAAGGGTGACCAACAAATGTTTGGAGCGTTAAAATCTTCAGCTATGAGTTTCGGTCCAGGTGCAAGATACGATAGGTAAGTGAACGTATGAGAAGTCGGTAGAAGCAGAAGGTGGACGATAAATACATCCAAGGAGTAAGGTCTGATTATGGTGTGCGATCTTTAACCATAAAGATTCCTGTACTTTATAAAGGATGGGGTTGTTTAGGGTTAGGTCAGGTCAGGTCAGGTTGCACAGGACGGTAGAGGCTTTCGCCTATCGAGCGTCCAGATTCCTGCTCCAGTCTGAAACACGTCTTCCGGAGCTTCGACTTCTTGTCGACCGTTGAACCTCAGCCGATTTCTTTGTTTCGAACTGCCTCTCTTGGCGCGTCCGTATCTGCAAAGGGAGGTTATTTGAAAAAGGGCAGCATAGACACCTAC